TACTGTCTGGTAGTCATTAAGACCAATTACCGTAGAGCTCTTTGGTACTGGGATGATGGTGGCAGTCTTGAGGCAGGTGGGAACTGTTACCAGGGTAAGTGAGGAGTTAAAGTTGTCAACCAGCACCTCGCAGAACTTATGGGCACAGTCTTTCAACACCTTCCCGGGGATGTTGTCTGGGCCGATTGCTTTGTGAGGATTAATCCTCCTGAAAGTACTCCTCAGTTCGGCTGAGGTCATGCTGAGAAACTCTTCTTCCGTTGGTGAGGTGAGTCTGTTGCTGGGTGGTCTGTTCGGGTCTTCAAAGCATGTGTAGAACCTGTTGAGGGTATCAGGCAGTGATGGGTCTCTAGGGCATTGTTCTCTCCTGCCTTAAAATCTGTTTTACACAGATTAGACCTCCGCCAAGACCATGCGTCTTGTGAGGTGAATTCGCCCCTTGTGCAGTAAAGCTACCATTTCTAACCCGAATCCCAGCTCGACCCAACCCGGATTAGGGCCGATCCGGTCATTATAATGTGATTAATGTGCGTGCCGGTCTCGGGCTTTGATGCGGTTTTACGAATCATACATCACAAATAAAATGAGAGGAGGAAGAAAGAAAGAACAGTGCAGCAGTTAATCAGACTGTGGAAGAGATCGCTAGCGCATTGCTCAATAATTGCGTCCATGGGCTCAGGCTTCTACAGTTTTGCAATCATACAGCACAAATAAAATGAGAGGATGAATACAGGAAGAACAGTATACCAGTTAATCAGACTGAGGAAGAGATTGCTGACTCATTGCGCAATAATTGCTCATGTGGGCTTAGACTTCTGCAGTTTTGCAAATCATACAGCACAAAGAAAACTAAATAATACACAATATTAAATTGTGTTTATCTACTTTTTGAGGAGGAGGAGTCAGATCTGACCAGCCAGTTTAAAGAGGTTTAAAAAAGTTGCGTTAAGCTCAGATGGACAATCTGTCATGAGCCGCACCCGTCCGCTGACTTGCTGGTTGAAATCCCACCTTTCGCACAGTGACTGCTGGAAATGGGCACCAGTGACTCCCGCTACCTTAAAAGGAAGAAGCGGGTAAAGATAATGGATGGATGGATCAATCAGCTGATAACTGGCCGTGCGCGTCTCCGCACCTGCTGTCATCTGCAGTGAAGGAAGTAGCAGCATCTACAAAAGCCTAAGTGAGCAGTGCGTTCAATTAAAATAGCCTTGCTCTATATTTTTCCAAATAATTTTGCTCTAAAAATAATTTTGTTCTTCTGTGTAATAGCCTATCTTTACATTTGATTTTTTTAGGCTATTCATTTTGTATGTTAATATCCATTTGGTGACTTATTAATAAACACAAATCTTATAGCTTTATTTCATTGTTTTTAAAACTTATCATGTCAAACTGAATTGCTTATAAAAGCAGTAAAATCTTCATGAAAAAAAAGTTGTTGTTTTTTTGTTGGGTTTGGCCCTCTAATTACCGGTAACCCGTTAAATCCGGGTAGGTCTCGGGGAAAAAAATGGCTCTTTCTGGTCTGGGCTGGATTTATTAGGTCTGAATGCAGCTCTAATATGCAGATAGAAGATGTTTTTGTGTGTGTGTGTTTTGAACTAGAATTGTCCTTAATGTTCATGTGTTTCAGTGGTTCCTGCCTATGTTTGATGCTGATTAAAAGAAGAAGATCTTCAAGTTTGAAGGCCTGATGTGGACCAACAGGACCCAGAGCCTCTTATCATAGAGTAGAATTGAAGACCTTTGGACCAGTGTGGTCGGAGACCAACTCAATATGGAGGAGACCAATATCAGGTTTTTGGTTCCTTTAAAGAGTGAGGAGGATACTTTTGATTTAAACCAGGAACACAGATTTAAAGACAGTTCCAGCTCTTCAAAGACTGACGTTGATGAGGACAATGAAAAGGATGGTAAAATGACCAATCCTGACTCTCTGCTAAAGAACTCATCAGACTCTGAATCAGAACGTGAAGACAGTATGAAAGACTGCAAGGAGAGCAGGGCTCCTGAATCAGAGGTAAAAATTGTCAAAAAATCTTTGAGCAGCTCCGATTATGGTAAGCAGTATGTCAATAACTGGACTCTTCAAAGACACTTGACAAGTCATTCAGGAGTGAATTCTTCAAGCTGTCTGCTTAATAAGAAATGTGTTGGAGAGAAGAAAAATGTAGAGTCCCGCTGGAAAGTCCAGGCAAGACCAAAATCATTAAGCTGTGATGACTGTGGTAAAAGATTTACTTTCAAATCACAACTAAACATTCACACGAGAGTCCACACAGGAGACAAACCATTTCCTTGTGATCTTTGTGAACAAAGGTTTAGTCATAAGATAAATTTAATCTCACACATGAGAATCCACACAGGAGACAAACCGTTTTGTTGTGATCTTTGTGGACAAAGATTTAGACAGAAAACGGTTTTAAACAGACACATGAGAGTCCACACAGAAGACAAACCATTTCCTTGTGATCTTTGTGGACAAAGATTTAGTCATAAGTCATATCTAAACACACACATGAGAGTCCACACAGAAGACAAACCGTTTCCTTGTGAAGTTTGTGGACATAGATTTAGTCATAAGAAACAACTGAACACACACATGAGAGTCCACACAGGAGACAAACCATTTCCTTGTGTTCTTTGTGGACAAAGATTTAGTCAGAAAACAAACTTAAATACACACATGAGAGTCCACACAGGAGACAAACCGTTTCCTTGTGAACTGTGTGGACAAAGATTTAGTCAGAAGGGAAATCTAAACACACACATGAGAGGTCACACTGGAGACAAACTGTTTTCTTGTGATCTTTGTGGACAAAGACATAGTCAGAAGTCACATTTAAACTCACACATGAGTGTCCACACAGGAGACAAACAATTACTTTGTGAAATTTGTGGACAAAGATTTAGTCAGAAGCCAAATCTAATGTCACACATTAGAGGGCACACAGGAGACAAACCATTTCCTTGTGATCTTTGTGGACAAAGATTTATTTTTAAGTCACTTTTTGACAGACACATGAGAGTCCACACAGGAGACAAACCGTTTCCTTGTGATCTTTGTGGACAAAGATTTAGTCATAAAGCAACTTTAAACGAACACATAAGAGTCCACACTGGAGACAAACCATTTCCTTGTGAACTTTGTGGACAAAAATTTAGTCGGAAGACAAATTTAAAATCACACATGAGAGTCCACACAGGAAACAAACGGTTTCCTTGTGAACTTTGTGGACAAAGATTTAGTCAGAAGGGAAATTTGAACACACATATGAGAATCCATACAGGAGACAAACCGTTTCCTTGTGAACTTTGTGGACAAAGATTTAGTCTGAAGAACACTTTAAACACACACATGAGAGTCCACACTGGAGACAAACCATTTCTTTGTGATCTTTGTGGACAAAGATTTAGTCAGGAGTCACATTTAAACACACACACAAAAATCCACACAGGAGACAAACCATTTCCTTGTGATCTTTGTGGACAAAGATTTAGTGTGAAGGACACTTTAAACTCACACATGAAAGTCCACACTGGAGACAAACCGTTTCGTTGTGATTTTTGTGGACAAAGATTTAGTCGAAAAACACATTTAAACTCGCATATAATAGTACACACAGGAGACAAACGGTTTCTTTGTGATCTTTGTGGACAACGATTTAGTCACAAGACATCTTTAAACTCACACATGAGAGTTCACACAGGAGACAAACCGTTTCCTTGTGAGTTCTGTGGACAAACATTTAGTCATAAGTCAACTCTAAATACACACATGAGAGTCCACACTGGAGACAAACCATTTCCTTGTGAACTTTGTGGACAAAGATTTAGTGTGAAGCATGCTTTAAACTCGCACATGAGAGTCCACACAGGAGACAAACCATTTCCTTGTGATCTATGTGGACAAAGATTTAGTCATAAGACAACTTTAAACTCACACATGAGTGTCCACAAAAGAGACAAACCATTTCCTTGTGATCTTTGTGGACAAAAATTTAGTCGGAAGACATGTTTAAACACACACATGAGAGCCCACACAAGAGTGAAAACTTTCTCACATTAAATGTTACAAAAGCTATTTTAGGCCATGAGATGCAACTGGTATCTTATCATCAATTAAAATTTGTTTTGATTTTGTAAAAAAAAGTAAAAAATAAAATTCATTCTGTGACAATTTTCACGAGTTCCCAAACTATGAGTTGCTCCTAATGTCTCAAAAATATTTAAAAAATAGTAAAATAACTAATTTAACATAAGTTCATAATTTGGACTAGATGTTGTTTCTAAAATTCTGGTTCAGTGGCTGCAATAAGTGGAGAGAACCAACCAACTAATCAAATTACTCAGATTTCCAAAATGGCAGACTCCCTGAAATGTGTTAATCTTGTAATTCCTGAGGAAAAAGTGATTTTATTCATGTTTCTGAGAGAAGTTAGTAAAAAAAACAAAACAATGAATGTGTGTAAAAGAAAACACTGCGATGGTACAACAAACTACCACTAAACATTTTGAAAGTTACAATGATGCTTCACTGATGAGACTAAAATAGAAAGTTCCATAAAGTGAACCAAAAACATGAACATGAGTCTACCCTGAAGCTGTTACTCATAAATCCCTAACCAGGACCGTAAGGAGAAAATAAATCACTGTAATGCCAATTTAATTTAATTTAATTTAGCTTGAGCAGGGAGGACCAGACATCTTCATACTTCACAGCAGCTGCCCAGATGACACAACCATGTGTTGCCTGACAATGTTCAGTCATCTGGATGTTTTTTTTTTTTTTTTTTTGCTGAGACGTTTTATCCTTCATCCAAAGGACTTCTTCGATCTGAATAGTTTTGGGGTAACCTTGACCCCACCGAGTTGTTGATCGAGGAGGCACACTTCAAGAGACTTCACCTTCAATTTAACACATTTATTTTCACACCATTAAGAGTACTTGTACAGTATTAAAAACCAAATGCATTCGGAAGACAATCAACGACTACGTTGATGAAATCAGGTCTCTCTTGTAAATGAGTCCTCGAGGCTCAATGGGATTTACCTGTCTAAATAAAGGTGAATAAATGAATGAATGAAACGTTACTTTGATTCTAGCGAGCCGAAAATCCTAAGATTGCCTGGCTCTGAGAGCGCGTGCAGTGAATTATAATGCTTTCCTAGTTCCATCCCTTTCCAGGCTGTATCCTGTTTTGATTGGTTTAAACTATTAACAATGAGGGAGGGGTTTTCTTGTATTAGCTGAACTAGTTGCTAGGTTCTCGGCCTCTTCTGCCTTAGTATCGGACCCTCCCGTACTCCCGTTTCAGTTTGGACTGGCTTTTATTAATTTTGAGCGGTTCTGAGTAAGATGTTGACCAAGTACAAAATCACGAGGGCTTATTGTTCTCCCTTATCTAGGTAAGCAAAAAGTGTTGATTAAGCATAAACCACAGTGAGTGTAAATTCCTCTCTTATCTGAGCAAAGTCAAGTGCAGTTTTTTATTAATTTCCTTCCCATGTAAGCAAAAGTCAACCATACTGTATTTAATTAATTTCCTTCACTACCTTTAAGATGTGTGAAAATCTGATTATGTTTTAGCTGTATTTGTGCAGAAATATAGAAAACTTAAAGGATTCACAAACTTTCAATCTGATTGTTAGTTGGACCTTCACATAACTACTTACAGTAGCCACCAAACAAAACTGATTCCCACAAACAGCATAACCATAGTGGA